CCGCGCTCCCCCACTGACCGCGCTTCCCGCTGACCGCGCTCCCCCACTGACCGCGCTTCCCGCTGACCGCGCTCCCCACTGACCACGCTGTCTGAGCTCGAGGCCTCCCACCTGCCCAGGAGCTCCTACTTGCGCTGTTTTCCGCAGACACACATTTACCACTTACTCCCTGAGGATTACCCGGGATTAGCTCACTCTCCGGGAAGACGTGTGGTGTCCACAGACAGCTGGGGTGAGTCAGTCAGTGCTTCGTGGTTCTGAGGACAGATGCCACGCGGGAAGCCTGTGGCAGGAGCTCTCTGTACCACACGTGCTGTCTGTGACGTAATGTGTGTGGTACATAATATGTAAATGTGAGTAATAGTACAGTAACAGGTCCCAGAGGTCATCTATACAAACTTATTGAATTTTTTTGCTTTAATAATTGAGGAAACTAACATTTTTGAATCCAGATGACTTCTCCACAGTCACCATTGGTCGTAACGCGCCAGCCGGGGCCGGGAGACCCTCTGGTGCGCAGGGGGCCAGGGCGCCGGCGTGGCAGCAGCGAGGTGCAGGCATGGCTGTTCCGCTCCCGTCCCAGGAGACCTTGGAGTCTCCCCTCCTCTGGGTAGACATCAAGTTAAAGACTTCCAGTTCTCACACAAAACCCAAGACTTAGTTCTGGAGCGAGTGTCAGAGGTGCCGCGGCCTCGTCCGCCCCCCCGAGGAGCGCGTGCCGCAGAAGGTGCCCTGCAGATGCCCCTGGTCGGACAGTGGAGGGACGAGGCTGCGGGAGCTGCCGGCCGAGCTGGAGCCAGAGCCCCGCTCTCTGCACACGCGGTCCGTGCCTGTGAGTGACAGCTCACGCCATCTGCGGTTTATGTCACTTTCATTTCCTAAAATGTCAACCTGAGGAGCCGTGGGAATGACCTTGCACGGTACTTCCCTGTGAGTGGCGGTTGTGAGAAACCCAGCAGCGTCCCTGGAGCGGCGTGTCCTCTGTGACCTCCTGCCGCGGTCATGCGACGCCCACAGTCTGTCATCACACGAGGGAGCAGGCAGGCTCCCTGCCGCGGCTCCTCGAGGCCCTCGGCAGAGACGGTAACAACGCTGCGCAGTGGTAAACGCTCACCTGCCGTCGATTACATCTCACCTCCTCCACCTCCTTACAGACGGTAACAACGCTGCGCAGTGGTAAACGCTCACCTCCTCCACCTCCTTATCCTGCCTGCTTGCTGGGAAGGCTCGGTGCTCAGAACCCCTGCCTCTGCGCAGCTGGGTGTGCTCTTGCAGCAGATCTGGAAACAGCAGGGTTTTCCCAGCAAATACCTGTTTTCAAGAATTCTCACTGTCTGCTCCAGCTTTCTCTTCTTTTATTCTTTAATACTAGAGGCTGGGTTCACGAGATTCGTGCACTGGGGGGGAGGGTGTCCCTCAGCCGGCCTGCGCCCTCTCATAGTCCAGGACCCCTCGCTCCTTACTGCCTGCCTACAGCGGAGGCGGGAGAGGCTCCCGCCCCTTCACTTGCCAGCCCTGAGCCTGGCTTGTGGCTGAGCGGCACTCCCCCTGTGGGAACTCACTGACCACCCGGGGGCAGATCCTGCGCTGAGCATCTGCCCCCGGGTGGTCAGTGCACGTCATAGCAACCAGTTATTCCGCTGGTCTGTCAATTTGCATATTACACTTTTATATAGGATAGTGCCAGTGATGTGGTCTTTATAATTTTTGTTTAAAAGTTACATTCACCCGGCCGGTGTGACTCCGTGGTTGAGCATTGACCTAGGAACCTGGAGGTCACGGTTCGATTCCTGGTTGGGGCGCATGCCCAGATTGCGGACTTGATCCCAAGTAAGGGGTGTGCAGGAGGCAGCCGGTCCATGGTTCTCTCTCATCACTGATGTTTCTCTCCCCCCCTCCCTTCCTCTCTGAAATCATTGTACCACCTGCTGCTCTAAAATAACCCACCCTTGCCTGTGCCTCACGTCCACACTCCTGGGCCAGCGTGCGCTGCGCTCTGAGCCGGGGCCTGCGGCTGTGGTCCCTTCTGCATGTTCTGCTATGTGGGGCCTGTTTCCCGAGCCTCATCTTTGCCCGTCCTCCCCAAACACCCTCGTCCTCCCCGCGCCCTGCCTCCCCACGCCCGGCCCTGCCCCGCCCCGACCCTGCTGCCCGGGGTTGTGCAGGGCTCCTGTTCCCTGCTCTTCCTGGGCCCGCTGTGTTCTGCTGGAGTCTGTGCTCCTGAGCCAGGCGGCTCTGTGACCTGGCCCCTCCCCCAGGCCTGCAGGCCTCCCCTCCGAGGGCCGGACGCCGGCTGTGTCGCAGACGCAGACGCACTGCTCTGCGAGGAAGGTGCCCCTCAGCCTCGTGGCTCACTGTTGGACTTGGCTGTTCCTTTCTTTCCCTGAGTTCTGTGGCGCAGGTAACTCTGCGTGTGAAGTTAGAGAACGCGGTGCAGACCTGTGCGTGCCTGACTCGCTGCTGCTGCTGCTGCTGCTGCTGCTCGGGGTCCCCTTCTTTGTGACTGTCCTGCAGCCCCGGCCTCGGGGGCACATCAGCCCTGCGTGCAGGACTCCTGACCTGGCAGGTGCGCCCTGGCCCCACGCCGCTGTCATGGCTGTACATTGCCCAGTGCAGGTTCGCCGCCTTAGTGTCTTTCTGCCCATGTTAGAGGCTCCTGACAATGTTTTAATCTTAAAAAGAGCATTCTTTCTACAAAGCACGTGAGAAGTTGTGGAAATAGTTCACACCGTGTGTGAGTCACACGATACTCAGATGGCTATTCCTGAGCCACCTGGTCCCCTCTCAACTGAAGGCCTTCGTAGCCTCTGAATGAGGAACTGAAGAAACAGGCAACGAAAAATATCGGTTCCAGTACGTAATATTTTATTATTAAACTCATCTTCCAGCCCATGTCAGCCACCAGTCCTCCTGCTGCCCTGGTGTAGTTGCTCCATGTGCAGGGGCCCGCCGGCTGTGTGGGGCCGTGTTCACAGGCTCAGGAGGGCAGCTGTGTGGGCCGTGTTCATGGGCTCAGGAGGGCAGCTGTGTGGGCCGTGTTCATGGGCTCAGGAGGGGCCTGGCAGCTGTGTGGGCCGTGTTCACGGGCTCAGGAGGGCAGCTGTGTGGGCCGTGTTCATAGGCTCAGGAGGGCGGCCATGTGGGCCTGTGCAGGAGGAGGGGACAGTCTCTGGTGCTCGCAGCGGCGTGGCCTCGAGGCGGCGTGGTGAGCGTGCACAGATGAGGGACACCTGACCTGGGCGTCCTCACAGCCCCTCGCGTGGACACTGGTGTCAGCCTGGCTGTCCCGCTGTCCCCTCCTGGTGGCATTTGCAGGCGGGAAGAATGTGGGAGTCAGGGAGTGGCCACACGCCTTGAGGTTCCTGTCGTTCTGGCATCTCCCACCATCCCTCCCCTTCCAGAGCCAGGGCGGTGCCGCCTGGTGGCCGCGGGGAGCCAGGGCTCCAGGGGCTTGTCCCGTGGGGGTCCTGGAGCCCGGGCGGCCGACACACTCGTGTGCGCGTTCCCTGACCCCGTGCACAGCCCACGTGCCGCCACCGCTCGTTGTTGGTTTTCTTGCTTTGACGTTTATTAATTTATTAAGTCACACACCCCAGGCGATTCTGATAAGGTTTCCACGGACACGGGCACAGAGGCCTTGTGCTCGGGGTGCTGTTACCAACCTGGGCGAAGCCTTCTGTTCCGCTCGGCCATCACCTGCCTCCTGTCCCCTTCGTCCGGAGCAGGAACGCACCCAGGACAGGTGGAGCCTGAGATGTGATAACCCGCTGGCCCGGGCGTCCACACCCTGCCTGGTATCTGCTCTCCGTCCCAGGAACTCTGGGCAGGGACGTCCTGTTTCGGAGTCGGCGTGATAAGCACTGAGCCGCCCTGTGCCGCCCTGTGCCCTGCAGGCAGGAAGCGGCTTGGGCGGGGACAGTTTACCGAGGGTGGGGCCGGAGTCAGAGCCTTTGTTTGATTCCAAAGTCCAGGTCTGTCTGCGGGCCCTGTCCCCACTTCCTGCTGGGAGCCGGGCTGGCTGGCAGCTGCGCCCAGGGCCGGGGAGCCCTTGTCCTGCCAGGGCCATGGGTGTTGATCACATTATCACATCGTCCGCTCAGTAGAACTCACCTAATGTAATGTGCGTCGCAGGAAGGAAGCCCCCGGATGTCAGTCCCACCTTCGGTGGCCTTGGCAGGGCCAGACCACAGGATCCCAGCCCTGGTCTGAGTGCGGCTCTGATGTGACCAGCGCCCCCGCCCACTCGTGCGGGAGCGTGATAAGCACTGAGCCGCCCTGTGCCGCCCTGTGCCCTGCAGGCAGGAAGCGGCTTGGGCGGGGACAGTTTACCGAGGGTGGGGCCGGAGTCAGAGCCTTTGTTTGATTCCAAAGTCCAGGTCTGTCTGCGGGCCCTGTCCCCACTTCCTGCTGGGAGCCGGGCTGGCTGGCAGCTGCGCCCAGGGCCGGGGAGCCCTTGTCCTGCCAGGGCCATGGGTGTTGATCACATTATCACATCGTCCGCTCAGTAGAACTCACCTAATGTAATGTGCGTCGCAGGAAGGAAGCCCCCGGATGTCAGTCCCACCTGCGGTGGCCTTGGCAGGGCCAGACCACAGGATCCCAGCCCTGGTCTGAGTGCGGCTCTGATGTGACCAGCGCCCCCGCCCACTCGTGCGGGAGTGAGGACGTCCGCTCCCAGCCAGCACCCGGCCGCGCCGAGGAGCGGGTCAGGGAGAGGCTCGTGCCGCCTGTGGGTGCTCTGCAGATACGAGGCAGAGCCGCCTGTCTCAGGGACCACGTTTGGGGGGACAGTGCTGCCCCCAAATCATGGAACAAGTCGGTTCAGCACAGCGGGTGGTCCTCTCCACATTGTCAGGGCCGTGAGCCTTTTAGGTGAGCCTGCAAGCAGGGCACGGAGCTCCAAGAAGGGGCAGGGTTCCCAGTCCCCACTCCGCCCTCGGGCTCCCAGTCCAGGACCCATCCCTCCTGCTGACTCGGTCCCGGGAACCTCCACTCGGCCTCGCCCAACTCTGCAGTGAGAGTGTGAGTCACCTGCCAGCGCTGTGACTGGCACCTGGGTTCCTCCTTCATCAGAGACGCCCTCCCGGGCCCTGCCCTCTAATCTGCCGGCATCGCGGGGAAGCGCATCCCCACCTGTTGCTCTGCACTCACCTTCCCTGGATTCACCACATTTGCTGGAGCAGCCGCTGTGCGCAGCAGTGACGCTCTGATAAGGGGACCTGGCTCTCACCCGGTTCCACCAGCCCCACCCCAACCTGCCCCTCTGCTGGGCTCCCGCCTCGCCTCACAGCCGGCTGAGCCAGAACCTGGTGTCCCCTGTCCTCGGTTCCTGACACCTTAGTCACCAGCAGTTCCTCCCTTCAGTGGCCCGAATGGATTTTAAGTCCCCTGCTCTGCCCTGGTATCAAGCCAGGCTCCCTCGCCTCCCTTCCCTCGCTTCCTCGCTCTGCTTCTGAGATGCGGCCTTTAGAGTCGCTGTGGGGCTGTCAGCCTCTGCAGCCCTGCCTGGCGAGCTGCAGGCTAAATTCTGTGTCCTGGCGCGCAGCCTCCTCTCCCTGCTGATGGTGCTCTGCTCCCTGCCACACCCACCCCTTCCTCCCAGCGTAGTGTCCCGGCTTCTGTCTTCGCCTGGTGCCTTCCCTTACACTCCTGGGTGGGGAGTGGTCCTTCTCTCACCCTCCCCTGACGACAGCCTCGCCTTCCGTGGCACCTGGGTGTGCTCTGGGGTCCGCATGTGGGGCACGGGGCCTGCCTGTGGGGCTGCTGCTCACTCTCTGCACAGGGTGCCACGTGACCCATTTATGTCCCAGACTCCCCTACGCCGAGCTCCTCGGCCCTGGGGACCGCCCTCGCAGTTTATCTTCAAGACCCGCGCCCAGTGGTCATGGCATGGAGCACAGGAGGTGGCATGGCAGTCACGCCTGCTCACGCACTGGGCCACGGCCTCCACGGCCCCGGGTGGCAGGCGTCCGCTGGGAGCCCTGCCTGACCCACCTCCCTGGCGGGCACCCTGTCCCTGAGCCTCCGGAGGCTTCCTGTGGCACCCAGACCAAAACAAAAGACGCACTGAGCGCCCGGGAGGTTCTGAAACCAAACCGAGCGAAACCGGGAGGAAGATAAGGGCTCGGGGTGATGACTTGCCCGCGACTCTAAATACCTCCCTTTTATAGCTCACTCTCGCTCGGCTTCTTTGCCCTGGACGGGTCTTGTTATGTTATTTTGAGAAACAAGGCACAATCCTGAGGATCTGCTCCAGTTTGGATAGAGGACTGTTCCAGGGTCGCAGGGGACTCATGGCGGAGCTGCACTTCCCGGGCCTCCGCTGCAGCACGCTCATTCCTTCCTGTTAGCAAAGGCTTGTGAGGCCCTGCCAGGCCGGGCCCTCCAGACACAGCAGCAGGCGCCCTCCCCTGGCCTGGTCCTGCCTGCACTCGGGGGTCCCGCGTGGAAGGGCGCCGCGCCCACAGGGAGTGAGGGCACAGGCTGAGGAGTGGTGGGTGTGCCCTGCAGGCCTGGAGCTGTGGGTGAGGCCCCAGAGCGGGTGGGGCTGATGGTGGGAGGGCCTTGCTTCCCGCCTGGGGAGCCGGTGCTTCCTTCATGCTGAAGCCCACTCCCAAGGGTGAGGCCCCCGGGGGGCCTGAGCCCTCGTATGAGGAGGAGACCTGAGCCCTCTCCCTCCGAGGGTGGGGTGAGAGGGTGGCCATCTCGAGCCTGGAAGAGAGCCTCCCCAGAAGCGGGCCCCAGACAGACCAGGGCAGAGCAGGGGCGCGGCTGTGTGAGCCTGAGTCTGTGGCATGTGGTGGTGGTGGCCGCGTGGACGGACAGGCTAGGGGCTGCGGGCCGTCTCGGGGGGAGCCCAGGGGTCCTGTGCTTTGAGAGGGTCCCTCTGGCGGCTGTGTCGGAGGCCTGCTGGGCGACCGTGGTCTGGTTGGGTGTTTGCAGGCGGAGCCAGTGTATAGTCCTGCTGTCAAGGGCCAGGAGAAGTCCAAGGAGCCGCAAGGATGGAGCTGGCGGGAGACAGGCGTGTGGGCTGGTGTCGTGACGCAAGGCGAGGGTTCCCCCTTAGCACATGGATTACAAAATGCCAGTCAGACTTCCACGTGGAGAGGTCAGGACGACGTCGGACGTTCGGTGGCTGTCAGGGCGAGACCATGGGAGCTGCCAGCTGCAGCCAGGAGAGGCTCCGCATCTTGAGCAGCCTGTGGGCCGGGCCAGTGGTCAGGACGGAGGGGCGGAGCCCTGTCCCCCTGGGTCCCCGCTGCAGGCACCCCTCCACCGTGGGGTTCTCACTCTCACACTCAGACCGACCTGAGGGCAGGAAGGAGAAGGCAGAGCAGGGTGCATCGCTTTCTGTCCTCGCACCTGAGCCAGGGGCTCAGCACACGCTCTGAAGAGCACCGCCTGCCTCAGAGCCCA